ATTATTATTATTATTATTATTATTATTATTATTATTATTATTATTATTATTATTATTATTATTATTATTATTATTATTATTATTATTATTATTGCGAGGTAAACCTAGAGCGATAGGAGGGTAGTAGTAGTAAGCTGGGTGCTACGATTTAATTAGTTATAAAAGTAGGTCTATAACCGTACTATAGTCGGAATAACCAAGTGGTATAGTTGGAATAACGGCTCCCTAAATATATCCAAAGAAACAGTACGAGTCACCTCTAGTCTCTAAAAGTTAGCCGAACTACTATAAAACTAACTACTAGCTATAAAGCAGTTAGTAGCAGTAATAGTAGGGTAGATCTTATAGTTATAGCTAAGAAAGGGAGGGGGTTTATACTATATATTTACTATTTCTTTAGATTATATTTATATATATCGAGAAACCTAGGGAACCCACCTAATTTCGGGTGGTGGGCATATAGTGGATCATCTATTCTAGAAAGGGTTTAAGAAGACCCGGAAGACCGAACAGGGGGTGGCGGAAGACCGGTGCTCCTAGGTATACAAGGCGGTACTCGTATGCAGTACAAAGAACAGTACAAGTACTCCGTAATAACATGACGTACTGAGTACATTGATTAGTTCGTGCCCCTGGCCGTTCAACATCAGCACCCCTATCTGCACCCCTGTCGTTTCAAACGTTGCGACGTCCTCCTAGGAATTCCGATGGCAGAGATTCCACGACATTTAGTATTGTCAGCTGTCTCGTCCTGCTTTGCATAGGCTACGACTACCCCTGGACGTGTATTAAGTTTGGATTAATCATGCAACCTCCGAATTAATAACCAAGGCGACCGATCCTCCTTCACGTCCCATCTTTTCCCGTTCGCGCTACCAGACCATATATGCGATGCTTGATGGCAGATGAAGGGTTCACTGCATCCATCGGGAGGACAACCCAGGCCACGTCGTGCCTCGCAGTCCGCCGGTTTCGAAATGGCTTCTGAGCCTGATACGCAGTCGACTTCTGATCTCGACCGCCTCCAATTGCCTACAAGCAACACTCGCAACAATGAACAATCTGTGGCTTCCTCCGTTCCTCCAGCCCAAGACCCAGCTCCTGTGTCATATTGGGGCCAGTCGTATGGAACGCGGTCGGATGACGGCATTCTCGGCAATGACTCCCCGATAGATCTGACGGCATTGCAGTTTGCTCTCCCACCCGACATCAATCAAGGAGCACGAGACCTACCTGGACGAACATCGTCTCCGGACCTACAGGATGGGGAATCACAATACTTTGATGAGGCTACGAACCCCGACTTTTTTGAGTCGGACAGCGTTCCGCTCACTTCCCGAGCACAGCCTATTTCTGGATCCCTGAGTGCGCCGGACGCCGAGGGGAGGGGCAGAGACAGCTTCCAGACTGTCTCGGACTTGGACGATACTCCGTCGCAGAATCGGAATGTCGGATCGCTTGGTTTGGGTCTAGGACCCGACGGCACTGGGGCTCGTCGTCTTACCCAGGGGCAATCCCTTGCGGCGCCGTCCCGAAATCAAAGATCTCGGTCCCCTTCCACCTCGGATGCGCTCTACCGCGCCGGCTCTATCGTTCGTGCCATATCCCAACGCGTGGTGAATATAAGCGGAGAAGGCGAACCCTTTGAACGCAGGGTCTCTCACCGTCAATCTCGTTCGCCGAGTGAAGGTCGCCGACAGCGACAGATGAGCACGGTGCCTATGTCGTTGGATACTTCTTATCCATCACAGGCGTTCCACACTACTGGCGAGAAAATCAATCAGCACACGTCTATCATTCCCGAGCCTTCTCCTCCAATTCAACCCCGACCGTCAATGCGGAATCCCCTCAAGGGGAAGTCACTCGGCATATTCGGGCCAGAAAACGGTGTACGCAGGAGGCTCTGCGATCTGCTAGTACATCCCTTCACGGAGCCCGTCATTCTACTTCTTATCATTTTACAATTGATTCTCTTGACTGTTGAAGCGGCTCCCAACGTCTTTGAGCCTGGAAACGGACGGCCAACCACCTGGGGCACTACGTGGATAGACTACGCCATGCTCGGCCTGTTCATCATCTTCACCCTGGAGCTCATGGCACGTATCATTGTGTCGGGATTCATTCTCAATGCCTCCGAGTACAGCACTATTGATCGTAAACGAGGGATCCGGGCTGCTGTTGCAGACCAGTACAGGATGCTTTTTCAGCCTCAACGACAGAAATCCGTCAAGGCACCGCGACAGATCAACCTTGGGCCGTCGGCCTTTTCCAGGTCCTTCACCTTCATGCAAGGCCAACCTCTTCCACAGACAGTGGAAGAACAACAGCGTTACCAGCTCGCACGGCGGGCGTTTATGCGCCATTCTTTCAATCGTTTGGACTTTCTAGCGATTGTTTCTTATTGGATTACTTTCTTCTTATCATTTACGGGTTTGGAAAGTGAACACCACCTCTACGTCTTTCGCATGATCAGCTGCTTGCGCATCCTAAGGCTGCTTGCCTTGACGAATGGCACCGCTGTTAGTGATTATGACCTCCCTCCCCCTCCTGCCTTCCCCCTTCCCCCAACCCACCATACGTAGTTATAATCATGTTTCTCACTAGCGGCGCATAGATCATCTTGGGCAGCTTAAAGAAGGCAGCGCCGCTTCTCGTCAGGATTGCGTTCCTCATTTCCTTCTTCTGGTTGCTCTTTGCCATTATTGGTGTACAGAGCTTCAAGTCAAGCCTAAGCCGTCAATGTGTCTGGCTGGACCCCGAAGCTCCAACGGACAGATCAATGGCGTTTGTCAACCAGTTTCAATTCTGTGGGGGGCATGTCAACCAGACGACAGGGGAGCTCGAACCCTGGGTACTCGCCCAAGACGAAAACAGCCTGTCGGACTTAGCCCACGGAAGTCTCAGAGCCAAAGGCTTCATATGCCCCCGCGGCTCCATCTGCCTTCAAGGTCAAAATCCGTTTGGAGGCACGGTGAGCTTCGACAATATCTTTCAGTCGCTGGAAATGGTTTTCGTCATCATTAGCTCGAATACCTTCACCGATATCATGTATTACACGACCGATTCGGACTACCTAGCAGCGGCGCTTTTCACCGCTGGCGCGACCATGATCCTCCTCCTCTGGCTGACCAACCTGCTAATCGCAGTGATCACTTCGTCCTTTCAGGTCATTCGGGAAGAGAGCCGAGCTAGTGCTTTCGCGGTCGATCGTGAGCCTCTGGCACGGCCTCCTGAAGAGAAACGACCGAAGAAGACATCGCCCTTGCGGCGGATCTACGACAAAACGGAACTAATCTGGATAGCGGTCATTTCCCTGGGGCTGTTGGCTCAGTGCTTTCGGAGCGCGACCATGTCTGGTGGTCGCGCCCGGTTCCTCGACGTTACTGAGATTGTCATAACGAGCCTTCTTGACGTGGAGATTGCCATTCGATTTTTGGCAGACTGGCGCTCATTTCACCAGAGCTGGCGGAATCTGTTCGACCTATTCCTCGCCCTTGCGACTTCCATCATCCTGGTTCCTCCAATACGGACATCGGGGCAGGTATATGCCTGGCTCACCATCTTCCAAATACTTCGAGTGTACCGTGTTGTCCTGGCGGTTCCGATGACCGGCAAATTGATCCGGCGGGTTGTCGGTAATGCTACGGGCATTGGAAATCTCATCCTGTTTGTCTTCCTCATGACATTTATTGTGGCCATCTTGGCTGTCCAGCTATTTCGTGGAGAATTGTCCGAGGACGAGGATATATCTTTCTTCTCCATCTATAATTCATTTCTCGGCATGTGGCAGATTCTGTCAAGCGAAGACTGGACCGACATCCTGTATGATGTCACCGAAACCCTGTCCCCATTCAACACCCATTGGATTGGCGCGGTGTTTCTGATTGGGTGGTTTGTCCTCTCTTTCTTCATTGTCATTAACATGTTCATTGCTCTCATTCACGAGAACTTTGACGTCAGTGAGGACGAGAAGCGGCTGGAGCAGGTTAAGGCATTCCTCCAGAAAAAGGAGCTTGGCAAGTCATCTAACAATCTTGCGCTCTCCAATATTTTCAACATTGGAAGAGCGCGGAGGAAGAAGGACCCCCTGGATTACGGCCCGGCCATGATGGAAATGCTTTTGAAGGATGCAGTTGTGCACGACTTCTTGGACGATCCAAGCAATACTTCGCACGAAGGTGCCAATGGAGACGAGCACCAGCACCAGTCCCAGCACCCTACCCGAACAACAACCCTGGCCGTGGGCGATTCCCAGCCTGGCTTCTCCAATTGGTGGGGCAAGATCGTCTTGCGCCTGAGCGGAAGGGAGCCCAATCCCTTCTATTCAAATATCCGATTTGAAGGCCCGAATGACACTCTCGACCCTCGGCAGATGGCTCGACAAGCCGTCTCCGCAACGTCTGCGCGTCGCAAGGCACAAAGGGAATACCTAGCCCGCCATCCAACCTACAACAATGCCCTGTTTATCCTCCCGCCCAAGAACCCTATCCGGCGGGCATGTCAAAGGCTAGTTGGACTGGGAAGGGGAAGTGAACGGTTTGATGGTGTCGAGCCGAATAAGATCGCTTGGTACACCTTCAGTGTCCTCATCTACGCGGCCATTGTTGCCATGGTTGTCATCGCATGCGTCACTACACCGTTATATCAAAAGCAGTATCGGGAGCGATACCCGGACACTTTCCTCACCTGGTATATCTGGACAGATATTGCATTCGCCGCTGTGTTTCTGACCGAAGCTGTCATCAAGGTCATTGCTGATGGGTTCTTCTTTACGCCTAATGCGTACTATCGCAGCTCATGGGGCATTATAGACGGTGTAGTTCTCATCACTCTCTTGATTAATGTTGGCACCCTGCTCCTCCAAGACGGAGAAATCTCGAGGGCTATCGGCGCAGTCAAAGCTTTGCGAGCTCTGCGGTTACTCAACGTCAGCAACAGTGCGAGGGACACGTTCCACTCCCTCATTATTCTCGGCTGGTGGAAGCTCGTCAGTGTATGTGTATACGGGATTCCAGCCGTCTTCGGCGTCATGGACAGGCTGACACTTCTCATAGGCTGCTTTCGTCTCCCTTTCGCTGCTCATCCCGTTTGCCATCTACGGCCTGAATCTCTTTAATGGACTCATGATCTCGTGCAACGACGACAACGATGGCGCCATCGTTTCTCTAATGGACTGTTACGGCGAGTTCAACTGCACCCCGTTCAACGATGACTGGCCCATGCTGTGTCCTCGCTCTGCGTCCAATGACTATTTCAATTTCGACGACTTTGGGAATTCCATCTTCATTCTCTTCTCGATCCTAAGTCAAGAGGGCTGGGTCGACGTGTCCTTTGCGGCCCAAGCCATTACTGGGCGCGGCATGCAACCACAGCGCTTAGCGGCGCAGGGCAACGCGCTATTTTTCATCATTTACAACTTGCTGGGAACCGTCTTTGTGCTCACTCTGTTTATCGCCGTCTTCATGCGAAATTATACCGAGCAGACTGGCGTTGCATTTCTAACGGCAGAGCAACGTTCGTGGCTCGAACTCCGAAAGCTACTGCGGCAGGTCTCGCCTTCGAAAACGTCTTATGACGAGTCAGAGAAGACGTGGAAGAAGTGGTGCCACAAACGCGCCATCGAGAAAAGGGGCATGTGGTACCAGGGCATGACGGCCGTGCTGGTTCTTCACCTGATCCTGCTCATGATGGAATTCCGCCAGGAACCCCAATGGTGGTCGAGAACGAGGGACTTTCTCTTCCTGGTCCTGGTACTGATCTACATGGCCAATGTTGTCATCCGTCTCGTGGGGCTCGGATGGGCTAGGTTTCGCAGGAGCTCTTGGGACGTGTATTCCCTGATAGCCGTCGGAGGCGCTTTCATCTCGACGACTTTAGCGGTGATAATCCGTGCATCTAAGAGGGAAGACATCCTGGAAGGCGAGATCTACGTCCAAGTCCACAAGTCTTTCCTTGTTGCCATCGTGCTTCTTCTCATCCCTCGAAACGATGCGCTAGACCAACTGTTCAAGACAGCAGCTGCGAGTCTCCCAGCCATCGGCAACCTGCTTGCCACTTGGTTTGTCTTTTATATCGTCTTCGCCATCGCGCTTACACAGGCCTTCAGCTTAACACGGTTCGGGTCAGACGAGACGAGCAACATCAACTTCCGGACTGTTCCACACGCGCTTATACTACTTTTCCGCATGAGCGCAGGTGAAGGCTGGAACATTGTCATGGAAGACTTTGCCAACATAGAGCCGCCGTTCTGCGTCGACGATGCCGACTTTTTTCAGAGCGACTGCGGCAGCAAGCCCTGGGCCCGGTTCCTCTTCGTCCTCTGGAACATTCTCAGCATGTACATCTTTGTTAATCTCTTCGTCTCGCTAATATACGAGAGCTTCAGCTACGTCTATCAGCGCTCAAGCGGCATCGCTGCTGTCGACCGCGACGAGATTCGCCGCTTCAAGGAGGCATGGCGAAGTGTTGACCCCGCGGGGACCGGTTTCATCAGCAAGGAGGCCTTCCCCCGCCTCCTCGGCGAACTTTCTGGGGTCTTCGAGATGCGCATCTACGATGCGGAAGACTCTGTTAGCCGAATATTGGAGGATGTTCGCAACGACCCGTCTCCTTCAAGACATACTTCAATCGCGACGACGAGCGCCTTTAGCGGCGTCGATATCGAGCGACTCAACGGACGACTAGCCCAGATTGACGTCGCCAAAGTTCGCGAACGACGTCGGCGATTCAACATCTTCTTCGAGGAAGTCATGGTCTCCGCCGACCCCGACAGAGGCATTGCATTCACGACAGTTCTTATGATATTGGCACATTACAACATCATCAGCGACAGCAAAAGCTTGAGGTAAGCCCAGCTCCCTTCGCCAAAACCTGGACGTATACTGCGGGACAGAACGCTCACCACGGCTTGTGCCCGTTGACGTCTAGACTCGAGGAATTCTTGCGCCGTCGAGCGAGGCTGCAGCGAGTGGATGAGGAAGTGCGCAGGAGGACCGTGCTTGGTTTCTTTGATACCTGGTAAGTAAACCACCAAGATCCATGCCATGTATGCATATCTCATGTGACGCCAATGTCTGAACCGTCTGGTTATATAGGTACTATTCAAGGCAATTCAAGAGACACATGGAACGCAAGAGAGCCGGGCGCATGACCGCTATCCCACAGCTTGATATTCCGGATATCCTCGTGGACGACGAAAGTGATATTGGCGAAGAGCGGACCACGACACCGCGCGAGCGCGAGAGTGCGCAGGCCCAGACATCCATGCTTAGCGTGGACGACGCTGCCAGAGCACGCCCAAGGAGCTGGTCAGACACCAATAGGGGATCGTCTCTTCACGAGTCGACCTCACCACATCCCCTTAGTATGCCTCGATCCCACCCGTCGTCTCCGCAGCATCAGTCAGCACCCTCGGCATTCAGTTTTGAGTTGTTGGAGCCGGGTCCCGCATCCAGGGAAACCAGTCGGCGAACCAGTGTTGTCAGTCCCTCCCAGGTTAACGATATTTTGGACGACTCGGCTTGGGTGGAAAGTATCCGGAGGAGTGCGACAGTGCGTAGGCAGGATTGGAGTGAGTATTGAGCCATCATTTAGCGTGTATGTTGTCCTAGCGTTGAACATCCGATTTTTCTCCTTATAGTGGTAATTCGAGCATGGCGTCGGAGGTGTAAATATACCGGCTTTGCATTTTACGTAGTAATTTCATGTCACCTTTGTATCTAGGTATACAGCTTTATTTCCACAGGTAGTTTTCGACACTGCAAAAAAAAAAAAAAAGAAGAAGCAAAAAGAAGCAAAAAGAAAGGAGAGTGGACTTCAGAAATTATGACCGACGCAGGACTCGAACCTGCAGCCTCCTGATAAACAATTTGAATGATTTTTCGTTCAGATGTTCAAATCAATCGTAGTCAGACGCTCTACCAATTGAGCCAGCCGGCCTGTTTGAATATACCGGGTATTGCCTCGGATGCCAGAAAATGGACCTCTTTTTCGGGGCCCTGGGGAGTTTTTTTCTTATTATCGTTTCTTGGTCCACCCAACCTTTTCCGTGGCACATGCTAGGTACAAAATCGTCAGCCCGTGCTGTATCCGACTTCGCTTTGGCCCCTGTGGGTCACCGCCTCCGTGTGTGTCTCGTCATCTTCCCGACAAGTCGCAGGATAGTCTCATCATCCGGATGAAACTACGGATAGTCTGATGAACGTGGTAAAAGTGGAGTGGGGGTCCGACAAGGTTTGGTCGATATTACCAAGGTAATGTCATTGGTGACCACTTTGCTTCCGTACACGCGGAATAATACTCCCTCCCTACCTAGGATGAAAGAGTCGTACGAATAAGTATATTCGTCCGAATTAATTCTAGACCGAGATGCGACTCCGGGTGAGAGTGAAGTGCCGACAACGCGTCTTCGAGTGTATGACGCGGTGTTGTACAAGAGCCCTCCTGAGAAGGTGTTTACAAAGAACGGCCTATGGGTGCAAACAAAGCAAGGCAAAGTTGTACAAGGCGAGGTGCCTTGGTTGGTCACTATCCGTACGTCCACGCATTGACCAGCTGGGTCAATAAGGTAATTACTTCGTACGTGCACTGTTCCCCAGGAGCAAAGGGGTTGCAGATTATGCAGGGTCTGACCCATCACTTGTCCAGCATCCCCTGAAAATCATCCAACGGAGGAACATAGTGCCATTTATCAGTATGAACGTCCTGCCCGAGTTCGCGTTCCTATCGACCTCCATCAGTCTTGACGAGGGCCCGTCCTGACGCCCTGTCACTCGCTCAACTCCATTCGTTTCTGCAAGTCATACACTCGTTCATTCATTTCCCGGACAGCTGGCTGTGCGTGGTTTTCTCCCAGCGATTATCATTTTCAACCATTCAGTTCCTCTTAGTCTTCTGGAAACGAACACATCTTTATCTGCCGCATCCCTGTCATAAGTCAACGCACGCACCTAGCTGCAAGCCGCTCGTTTGTTGTACGGAAATCCCATCGGCGTCCCCGAAGGCCATCGAACCGAATAGATATGCAGTCCGCATATATGGAAGCCATGATGGCACTGCGCACCCCTTCCCGGCGCTCCTCGACATCGTCACGAGCAACCAGCGGCAGCAGGTCCTATCGCAGCGTCGCGTCCTCCCAAGCACGCACCGTTAACAGCATCATCTTTCGTCAGCCTTGCATCCTCGGTCAGGAAGAGGAACGCAGGAAATTTGGGAGCGACTTGGACATTCTTGAACCTCGTCCCATTGTTTACTGGAGTGGCGTTGAGGAGCGCATGGCAACACTCTAACCGGAATGAGCCTCACGATCACCATTGACGAATGTGGGCAACTGAAACCTTGCTTTTTGGATGGGAGCAACTGGTCTGTTGTTTTGTTACTCATGGCGGCGTTAGGGGTTTAGGTTGGGATCGCTCCGCGTCATTGAGTGAACGAGGGGGTGGTCACTTCGGAGGAAGATTCCAGGCGTCTCTCGGGGAAATCTGTTCGGGCTTGTGAAACGGCTTATGATTTCACCGGCGATTCGTCCTACACCATGGGCTGCCGAAGCCAAAAAAAAAAAAAAAAATTGAGAACGATTTACTAGTCAATCTTTTGGAGATGGGTCAGTCAGTCCGCCTATTGGGTGCGGTGAGATGCAGAATACATAAAGAAAGGCTGAAATGATTGTGGAAATCACCGGGTTGACCCTCTTTCACACATTGCAAAGGACTTGGAAGATGCCCCAGGACGGTGGTAGAGGAACATGGGATGACATCGAGGCTTGAACGTACACTTGAGGCGGGCCGAAGCACCGTGAAAGAAAGAGAGCGACACAAACAACGCCGTCATCTATCTCACAGTTGAGGGACGGCAAGTTCCCTCCCCGAGAGCAAATATGCAGACAACCAGTACTACAGTAATAATACATTTTCACCGCCCCCATGGCCGCTTGCTTCGGAGAAACAAGATCGTTGGGAGCCTAGAGCAATGAATGGAGTTCATCTGGCTCAGTCGCCCTTTGACTGCTTATTCCGCCTCTTTCCCATGTTTCGGACACGGGGGTCGACAACCCACTTGTTGTAGTTGTGCTTCCGACGAGTTTTATAGCCACCTTTAGCCTAAGACGGGTTTTTAGGTGGTTAGTAAGAGTGTGACAGCCACCGAAAGGGGAATACGCAGGAGGGAAAGAGCTCAAGTTAACATACCGGTGTGCCCCAGGGACTTGTGGGATGGCGATTGCCCTTGGATTTGCCTCGGCCACCACCGTGAGGATGATCGACTACGCGTCAAATTTCAGCCAAACGTCCAGCCTAGTAAACGTGAAACGGGGAAACAAAGGCCCCGCAACTTACCTGAATTCATGGCGACACCACGGACCGTCGGTCGTATGTTGAGCCAACGACTTCTCCCAGCCTTGCCAAGTTGTCTGTATTGATGATGAGGGTTGCTGGCAACACCAATCGTGGCACATGAATCCTTGCTGACCCGGCGGATTTCGCCGCTCTGTAGCCTCACGGTGACATACTTGCCAGTCATGACTTTTGTTCCATCATCTCTCGTCTCTTCCTCCTTGGAGACGACAATGGCATGAGTTCCCGCACTACGGCAAAAGACAGCAGGGCCCTTGGCCTGTGATCCAACATTGAAAATGACCGTCCCAACCGGGATCATATGCATTGGAAGGCAATTGCCCCTCCACGCCGTTTTGGCAGCCAAAATACCGGGGTCAATGACTCCTCCCATACTATCAAGCAGGGCTTTGGGAATGCCCGAACGATAGCTCTGGATGACATCGCCAGCCCTCATACCCTCGGCAGCAAGGATGTAGCTCTTGCTACCGTTGGCTTGATTGGTAACCAGAGCGATATGGGCACTTCGTCCCGGATCGTACTCTATTCGGTCGACAATGTGCGGACCTCCTTTCCAGCGATGAAAATCGACAGTTCTAATCCTCCTCTTGGCACCGCCGCCTCTATGTCGGATGGTAATTTTTCCTGTGGAATTGCGACCGCCTTTGCCGTGACCCCTTTTGGGGAAGGTCAGGGGGAGGAAAGGCCGGCCTTTCCAGAGATGATCATTGATAGGCCGCTTCAGATGACGGACGCCGGGCGTGCGGGGTTTGTATGTGCGCATAATGACCGACTCCTTCACGTTGGAAGACGCGCCGGTATCAGGGGCGGCGTACTCGCTGACAACCGAGTTGCCTGAGTGGCCGCCTTCAACGGCGCCCGCAGCCTGTCGAGCTACATATCCGGTCGAGAAATGTCGTGCAACGAAAGGTCGGAGACCTGCTAAGCAGAAGAGAGCTGGGGAACCCTCGACGGCCCTCAGAAACATGCGAGGCCGTGCCATGGTACCGTCAGAGGCTCCTACCCTGTCGGAGAGCGTGCGCCGTAACAAACGAGGACGGAATGGGCACGACTCTTTAGGGAAACATGTCTTTCCGGCCTGCAAACCCGTATTGGAATGGTGTACTTTTCGAGTGCGAGAAGGATAGCATTCAAAAATAAATGTTATGAGCGCCCAATTAGTAGAATTGCGCAGACAACCGAGTATATATGTTGTGGGTTAGCAGAAGGAGAAGGTTAGTAGTCTAAGATTTTGCTCAAGGAAGTGTAAACCCGAGGTTTTGCCGGACACCAAATGTACGGTGCGTGACAAGCACTTATTATATGGTGTGTGTGTAGATAAGTGTCGCACAGACCTCCCTCGGGGTGGAATAACCTGACGTCCGATTACGCGCTTAGGCACGGAAGGTGGATATCCGTAGGATTGTCGAGCATCAATTTTACCTCCTACAACCACATGTTTTTAGAACGGTCTGCGGCTTTAATACGATGAATTTAGAATCTCTTAATCTAACTATTCTTATCGTATTTATTCTTTTACAGTTATACTATATTCGATAATTAAGAGGCTTAGCTTTATTTATCTACTTATCCTTATTTTTCTATATTTTAAGAGTCTTACTAGCGGGGCCACTATAGCAAGATATAACTGACTAAAACTTATAACTTTAATATATAATAACTTAACCAGCAAGATATCCGAGACCCTTAAGGCTATTTATACTAGCTATACTGACTTAAAGTCCAAGAACCGTTAGTATAAGATAGTAGCGAAAATAAACAGAGCCTAGATGTATCTATAACCCAAAGACCCTATTATAGAATCTATCTACTCTACTAGTCCGAAATATACCGTCTCCCATATATAGCCTTAGTATAAATTCCTATCTACTAGATAGATCTTACATTTACGAAAAGAATGGCCTATAGTTATTAGACTATAAAGAGTTTAAATAAAAGAAATATACTTTCGAAAAATACGAATAAGAGATAAAAGCTATAGCCGCGTAGTTTACTACCTTTATCGCTCCCTTAGAGTTTAACGCCCTCCTCTATAGCGATAAAGCTACCGAGGTATATAGAGCTATAGAAACTAATACTATAGTATATCGTAAACTATAGAAAGACTGCTATAAGCTAGTATTAATAGTATATTTATAAGGCTCCGAATAATCTTAAGAAGATTACTAAATAGATAGATTAATAGCGTGATATTACCGTTATATACTATAATATTATTATTATTATTTATTACGCTGCTCTCGCTTAGCTAAGCTAGGCTAGCTACCTAGGTAATAGTCCTTCTCTAATTTTCGAGGGGAAACCGTTAATAGATAAAAGCCCCTACGCTCTTATTATATAAGCAGGTCTATTATACGTAGCCGCTATAGTATCGCTCCGTAGCCCTATTTTTATCGCTATTCGAAAACCGGATCTTACTTCCGGGCTAATAGCTAACGGGGGTCGGCTAGTTAGTTTAGTAGGTACCGTGTCGGTTATACGCGCCCTTAGTACGCTATCGCTATAGTCCCTCGCCGCCGTCCTTTCCTTTATTCCGGATGCGGCGAGGTTATTCTCCCCTCGCCGCGGCACCCTTTATACCCTCCCTCCTTTCTATAGGGGGGCGCGCCTACCCCCCCTTACTCCTTCCTTTATTTATTATTTATTCTAAAACCTCTTTATATACCTACTATTTATAATAGCCCTTATTTAGTTATATACCTCCTTTATTCGCGCTATATAGACTCTCCGGGGTAAGCACTATAGTATAGGCCGGGTATAGCTATTATTCCCTAAAAGGCGTAGTAACTTCTAGGGCTAATCTACCGCTCCCTTTTCTTATAACCCTCCCTCTTTTCCTCTCTTTTCCTCTTTTCCTCTTTTCCTCCTTTAAGCTATCGTTCTTAAGGTAAGTTTTACGTGGTTAGCGCGATATAGGTATAGCTCTAGAACTTCTGTGCGGGATCCCCGGTGCTATTCGGCTATATAGTAGGGTATTTAATAGGGTCCCGGGTTACGCTATCCTCGCGTTATCCTCGCGCCGCCCCCGCTCCGCTCCCGTAGCGCCCGCCTCGGTCTAACTCTCCTACCCCTCTAGATACCTAGTAATAAGACCTCTATCACTAAAAGAGGAGCCGGTGCTAGCGCCTATAAGGGTAAAGGGTCGGCTACCCCCTAGCCTTCCACTATAAGTTCCCCGCTCTATTAGTATTACGCCCGTTTTACGCCCCCGCTTTATATTCTAACCCGGCATAGTCCGCTATTACCCCTACTATCTACTCCTCTCCCTATACCTTATATATCGTATCGCTAGTATAAGATTACTAGGCCGCTTTATACTAGAACCCTCCTAGTATATAGTCCTATCGCGTTATATTCCCGCTACGCCTTTACTACGCCCCCGCTCCGTGGCGTATCTACTAACCCGACTTAGGTACCGGCGCCTATTACGTTAAATATATTAATAGTAATCGTAATAGTAGCTATTACGCCCCGGTTTATCTCCGCTACGCCCCCGCTATGTCTTTACTTTGCTAATCCTCCTATTAGGTCCCCCCCCCCTATAATAACGCTACTACCGCCCTTATCGCCTCTACCGCCGCCGCCCGCGCCGCCCCGACGCCCTTTATAGGTTCTCCCCTTCTCCATCGCACCGTGTACGCTATATTCTTATTACTCACCCTATTATAGAATATCCGTAAGTATAAGCAGGCGGCCACTTATTAGACCCGCGCTCTCCGGGTGCACCGCGCCGCCCTTCGCCGGGCTAGTGGTATTATATACTATAATAATAATATATTTAAGGACTCTAACGTGTGTGTAAAAGACCCTTTCAAGGCTATAAGCCCCCTTAATCTTACCTGGATCTACGTAGTAGAAAAAGATTTTAATACCGTAAACTCGACGCCTGCTATATTAGTACCGTAAGCAAAGCACTATACCGATAATCCTGCTACGTAATCTTCTGGCAGAGGGTACCGCGCGGCAGCATTTCCTACTCTTAATATTAATAAGGAGGGCGATAACGAATAAGCCTCTTCGTTGTTAGCCTCGAAGAAAAAAGGTAAAGATAATAGTAGCGGCAGTAGTAGCAGAGGCTATAGCCGAGGAAAAGATAATAATTCCTTAAAATCGTTAATAATCTGTAATTCATTGAAAAGATAGTAGTTCTACTACAAACTCACTAAGGTATACCCTGTATACTTAATCTCGGGATACCCACTTAAGACTTATTAGTGAGTCCACATATTCGGACTATAGGAACCTCTTAATCGGACTATGGTCCAATTATTAACAGCCCGTAACAGGCCCCGCCAGCTACTAACTAAATCTTTTATTATTATTTTCCTTTTTCCGACTATATAACCTTAATCCATAATAGTAAAAATAGCTCTATAATTAATTCGGCGTTTTCCACGCTTTTTGCGTTTGATTTTATAACTATCGTTAATTCCCTTTCTCCATAGATACGGAGGTCTAACCGAGTTACTGCTATAGCCTCTTAATCGCCATCTATACTAGACCACGATCCTGTAGTATTAGAACCGCCGCCGCCTGTATTTAGTAGGGAATTAATTCCTTTATAACCTCCTCGATATCCTTTTCCTATACTACCTCTTAAACCGCGTAGACGACTACGCGGTCGGCTATATCCACCTCGAAAGACTTATCCACCATGATAAACTGCGCCTTATTATTATTCCGCCTCTTACTACTACTATAGAAAACGCGTAGTAACCTCTTATTAACGTACACGCCCTTATTCTTCTTTAATATCCTATTCTAAAGCATTATAAGCCCTTATTACCTAGCTCTGCGGTCGGAGGTTAGTATTATAAGAGATTAGAGTAACTAGTATATTTTCTAGCGTAAGGCGAGGGCGGCCGCGGCTAGTAATAGCTACGATTAGTTTTAGGATACGGCGGAACTCATCTTCGGCTATTAGGTCGCGAGTAAGATACTATTAAGAATAAATCTTAAGATAGGTATATACCTATAGAGGCCGTTCTTATTCTCTAGTAGCTATTATATACGAGTAGGGAATACGATACTAAGTCTTATACCTTCTAGTATAATCTATAGCTAGAGTGGTATCTTTAGCGATAGTAATAGCCTTACGATACGATATTAGTAATAAGTTTAGAGTAATCCTACTATAATTAGAGCGGGCGTCTTCTATCTAGTTACGGCTACGGAATTACTAAATCTTACGATCTAATTACTTTACCTCTGCTTATTCGTATGACGCTTACTAATTCTATACTATTAGGTCGATACGCTTAGTAAGAAACGTAAGATCTGCTATAGTATTAATAACATGGCTCTTAATTATCTTATAGTTAGATTCCACGCGTGAGGTAACGCGAATACTAAATTTACGGAAGCTAGAAGTAAAGTAAGTCGGGAACTAATAACGCTAGGCTATCTACGTATTTATAATATATCCGATAATAGCCTCCTAGTCGGTAAAGAGCATAAGCAGGAAAAGCTAAGCACGTTTATATTCCTTTACCGAATTAGCGTATACGAAGGCTTACTAAACTATTGTAAAGCCTCGCGGATTATACGTTATTTCTAGCTCTTTAGAGAAAGCGATATTAATCGGACCCTCTTACGGTATCGAGAGTTCCCCGAAAAGAGGCGCTTTAGTATTATCTTTATTCCCTTAATTATTAGCATCGCTATTCTAATACTCGGCGCTATCGTTATCGTACTTCTAATAGTCTTTAACCTTACCGGCAATATTCTTATTAACGTGCTAGAGGCAGATTTATTACTGAGTCTCTGAATATATCGTTATTACTATATTTTTAAGCGCCTATTCGAGGTCCCAGATAATAATAATAGGCTACTAAATTCTAAGAGTCTAGCGGTGTTTATTAAGACGCTAGAGAACATATTTAAACGCTGGCTAATCCTTTTATTAATTAGACCGAAGTCGATATTAAACGTGGTGCCGATATTCGAGATCCTATAAATATTAACGAAGGGTATACTAAAGCGATTAGTTTTATATATATTATCGTATATAAGAACCTTGGAATTAAGCTTCTATATATACTTACTCTATAGCAGGAGTTAAAGTAGAGCGTTAATACTATTATCTGTCTAATGATAGAAATAGGTAGTATTACGTGCCTCGAATTCACGGATTAAAGCTTATATAGGCGTATATCCGGTAAGAGATTCCTTGCAAGCCTTACTAATCTTATTCGCAATATCTATAACTAACTATAACTAGAAGTAAGAAAGCTAAGTATTAAGTATGGTTTCTAAGTATAATAGAAGTAATACTCTCTACTCTGGGTATTTACTCCTTATAAAGGATACAATCTCGCGTGGCCTAGTAAGCAATATCCTAAACTGGTTATAGATCTCCTGCTTCTATTCCGTAGTCTAAGTCTTTTTTCGATAAATTAGGTAAGTAATAGAATTAATACTAGCGTTATGATTATAGTCGGGATTTATATTAGCTACGAGCTAATAACTGTTAGAGAAATTATCCTTAATAGTAAATGGGTAAGCTGTTTTCTTTAATATTATATTTAGTTAAGCGCTGCTAGTAATTAACTTATAGTGGGCACTACCATAATCGTAGGCGAGGTTAACGCGATAGTAAATACTATCGTGAACGCCTTTATTAGATCGGCGGCGGATTATAATTATATAGCTATAGTTATAAGACTATATATTTCCGTGCTTAATTAACTCTTTAATAGTATCGTAAGTAAGGGTAAAGAATTACGGCAGAGGGAGCGGCGGCGCCTCTATATCTAGGCGTTATCGTGATAGTAGCTTAGTAGTTAGATTAATTAATATAGGTAGACAGGTATAGATTAAGTTTATATAGTCAGAAAAAAGAAAATAGTAATAAAAAATTACTTAGTAGCTGGCGGGGCCTGTTACGGGCTATTGATAATTAGACTATAGTCCGATTAAGAGGTTGCCATAGTCCGAATATGTGGACTCAATACTATCCCTTTATTATACCTGAACCACTAGAAGATGCCACTGTCTGTCCACCTGTAGACAAACGGGCGGTCTCGGCGGTGCCGAGCAGATACAGGTTTACCTTCAAAGCTTGCAAATAGTGGAGCACTTGTGTTTGTACGGACTAAGTAGGCTCACTAGCCACACCCGCCTCGGAGCCCAACACGTCGCGTTAAGCCACAGATCTGGCGCGATCGCTTGACTGTGCATTCACGTCACGTCCTGGAGGCTGGGAAAATTGGAGACCCTATCGTGTTGCCCCGGAGTAACCAATGAAACGGACGTTGCCCTGCCGTTGCTTGTTGATTGCTAGTGTTTTCTGTCTTTCTCCAGACCTTGCCCCCACCCATGTCCAAAGAGTCGCGCCTTTTCTCCATACATATGGTACATACATTCTACATTCACAAGCATCCATCCACCAGGGCCTCGACGACTTCATATTCCCTCGTCTCCCGACCATCTCTCTTTCCTTTTCCACCTCGCCCATCGCCCATATTCTGCCTCCACCTTCCCATCTTCCTCCACGCACGCGGGCTTATGTGTGGGTGTGGCACAACAACTATCAATCTCAACCTCAATCGGAGAGCACTTGTGCTTTTAAATCATCGGGAACGGCCGCCACCAAACCCGACATTATCAACAAACTCGAACCAGTGCCCGCACAAGATATCTTCTCCCACGACTGGATAGTGATCCGAGGCAACCAAAACGCGTTCTTTGGTACCTTTTTACCTGCGTGCGGTCATTTCTTCAGACGCACAGTCTGTTCTTGTCACGGTATCCATAGTGACTGGCCTTCTCGCGATTACGAGCGGGTAGCAGGTACGTACCGATTATATTTCCCAGCTAAAGGTCCCACTATCCAGTATCCACCCACGTCTTCACTACCTTACACTACATACCTTACCCCAAGCAAAACAACATCGCTTTTACCCATTCCACGTCTTATGATTCCGAACATCCTCGCTTTCTCTTCTTGCGCTACACAAATTTGCACATTGCTTCTCCACCCTCCTTACCGGTGTTGTCCTCCGAACGCGAATTGACGCGACGGACGAACAGATCAGGTCTCAACCTGCAAGATTGGCCGTTGCCCGTGTCTCTGCAACCACCCTACGGTCGTAAGGTATTCCCGCGAGAATTATCCTGCATCCCCTCCCTTGGAAGGAGTGAAGTGTGAGTACACTGGCTTGCAATTCCATCATACGCTTTCCCGCATGCCCTCTGATTTACTGAAGGAAGGACGCGTCGTTTTAGCTAACTCGAATTCAGGTTCTACCATCTCCCTGATCATCTCGGTACCTCCCATCAGACACCGTCACAAACATGCCTCCCGTATGTCCCATCCTGATTCAAATCAACGCTCCTCTACTACGATGTGATATTACGCGTGATCGTGCCCCAGCAACCGTCTAACCTGAAATGCAGGGCCGGCCTACTCGTGCACAGCGTCTCGTCTCCAACGAGAATGATGAGAATAGCGGCACCACCCGCATGACGCGTGCAAAAGCTGCCGCTCAAGGCCTCGATGATCCCAGCCAAGCCAAGAGGGCACTCCAAACCAAGAAGGCCGTGAGCACGACTACGAATGGACCTCAGAGGAAACGTGCTGCCCTCGATGATGTCAGCAATGTCGGGAAAATTGAAGCTGGCGAGAGCAAAAAGGCTTCCAGCAAGGTTGGCCTGGTCTCCAAGGCCGCTCAGCCCACCGGTGTCCAAAAGACTCAATGCCGTACCACACGCACAGCTCTGAGTGCCAAGGACCCGAAGAAGGCGGTCAATGTGAAGCGAACGGGTTCCGGTTCCGGAGCTTTGGTCGGCGTCCACAAACGCAAAGCGACGTCTTCCGCCATCTCCGTGAAGGACGAATCTTCTTTGGACGATGGCGAGCCGGCCCAGAAAAAGCCTCACATCCTTGACGCCGATAAGCCCATCCGGACCGACGAGAACCAGTACGCGTCCGCCGATCCCGTTACTGAAACCGAGACTCAGACTCAGGTTGCGCCAAAGCATGTCCTCCCTGAAGGTGTGCAGGATCTGGATACCGAAGACCTCGATGACCCTCTCATGGTTGCTGAGTACGCCACCGAGATCTTTGAGTATCTTCGTGACCTCGAATGTAAATGCATTCCTAATCCGAACTACATGGACCACCAAGACGAGTTGGAATGGAAGACTCGCGGCATCCTCGTTGACTGGCTCATCGAGGTCCATACTCGTTTTCTTCTACTCCCCGAGACGCTCTTCCTCGCGATCAATTTGATTGACCGCTTCCTCTCAGAGAAGGTTGTCCAGCTCAACAATTTGCAGTTGGTCGGTGTTACCGCCATGTTCATCGCCGCCAAGTACGAGGAAGTCATGTCTCCTCACATTGGCAACTTCCGCAAAATCGCAGATGACGGCTTCACAGAGAGCGAGATCCTGTCCGCCGAGCAGTTTCTCCTTCAGACACTGAATTATGACCTCAGTTATCCGAACCCCATGAATTTCCTTCGTCGTATTTCCAAGGCGGATAACTACGACGTCGAGTGCCGTACTGTCGGCAAGTATCTTATTGAAATTGGTCTCCTCGATCACCGCTTTTTGGCCTTCCGTCCCAGTCACGTCGCGGCTGGCGCTATGTACCTAGCCCGTCTGATTCTGGATCGTGGCGAATGGGTATGGTTCCCTCGCCTCCTGTTGAAAGTTCCATTGGCCTTGCTGACATATGATCAAGGATGCAACCATTGCCTACTATGCTGGCTACACTGAAGAGGAAGTCGAGCCCGTGGTTCGCTTGATGGTAGACTACCTGGCACGCCCTGTCGTGCACGAGGCTTTTTTCAAGAAGTATGCCAGCAAGAAGTTTCTCAAAGGTGAGCATTGTTTCCATATCCTTCTGATTGATGCTTGTCGCTGATGTCAGCCGTAACACAGCCTCAATCCTTGCCCGACATTGGGCGAAGAAGACAGCTGCCCACTTCGGTATCACGGACACACATCTCAGCCTGGACCAGATCTCTGCCAAAGAGGAGGACGGCCATTATGATCATTACTAATAACGAACGCATTCGCATCTGTGCTCAGTACATGGCCATGGGACACAGCCGCCCCTGGAAAACCCTCGGCGCACGATTGGATCAGTATCGACCGTTGACAACTCTACGACGTACTAGATGGGTTGAGGGCAGCCGTGATCTTACTTGCACTTTCTTCTCCCTACTCAACATAACCTGTTCGCCCATCACGACAGTCGGTAGACCCAGACTGAATTCAGTCAGGTCAGTTGTTGCAGGATAGCTTTGGCTTGTTTTCTCATTGCCGTTTGGCTCCACAAGTCCTCCGCCGCGTCCTTTGGCGGCCCTCTTGTCTTTTTGTGCTTTTGCTGCTTCGTTTCTACTGACCATCATGTGGCGGTGGGATACGCATGCGATGCCTCTTCTATTTTTTTTTGATCGGCGCTTAGGAGTTGGGGCTCTACGGAAGACTGGAGTTTTGGCACTGTCATTTTTCTGTGTTTATCCGCCTTGGTCTTTGGTTTGACTTGTAAATAAGTTGATGGGGATTCGTGGGGGCGTGTTTCGTTTTTTGTGCGATGAGATGAGGAGTGTTGAGGGGATGGTTACACCTCTGGACAGTGCCTGTTGATTTTGTGAAATCAGGCTAGTCAACACTCAAATAACAGACTTCTGCCTGGGCACCTCGACGTCAGGGAAATTAGAGGCTTTGCGATGGTGGCCAAAAATTGTATATACTTTTGTTTGGGCAGTGCTTTGGGCAATGGAACGATCAATACATTGAGTAAGTACATCACGACCACGCTATTCACTGGCTGGGTTCACTGTCGACTGGGGTGAAATCAATGTCTTCTGTTGCTACCATATTACGTGTCAAAACACAAATATGGTACGCGGAATTATGTGTGTATTTATCTAAGTGAAGTTTATAATACTTCGTGGGGATGTCTAACTATACGGAAAAAGCAGGGGAAATAAGGGTGGATATATAGGAGCGAGGTACTTTACACGTCTAATATAATATAGTTTATTATACCTTAATAAGGTGGCTATAAGTATCGAATACACCCCCTAGAATAGTAGGATTAATCCTAATTATTCTGCTCGTTAAATTAATACTTAAAATCTAGGGTAGATTAGGCCTAGATATTAATTAACGGCGTCATAGACATTAAAGCTAAAAAGCAGTTAAACAGTATTAAAAATACTACCTATATAATAGTCTATAAGGCATAAAAACACTTAAAATAACAATCTAATTAATCGTTTTCCTTTAATTAAAATATAATAAAAGAATGTTATCCCTATTAATTACTTTAATCTTATTTCGGCGGGACCTTTATACTAAGTAGATATTATTATTATTATTATTATTATTATTAATCTTACTCTGCTATCCTGACTAATCTATAGGAGCCTTCCTAGGCTATACGGTCCTTCTCGGGTAGCTATAGAGGGGAAAACCCGGGTAAAACCCGGGGAAAACCTCTATACACTTCCTTAGGTGGAGAGGTACTGCTACGGGGCCGATATAGCCCCGGTTCTTCCCTATTATATATCTGGATCTTACCTTTAGGCTAATAGCTAATAGGAAGTATAGTAGGCTAATAGTTAGGTAAGTTAGTCTAAGCTAATCTTTATCGGTAAAGCGGGGGGTTAAGGGGGCGTTACCGCGCTTCCGTTATATAGCGGCTATAACTTTTTAGCCTCGGTCTCCCTACGTCCTTTAAGGATTATACCTTTTATTCCTTCTATTCGGTTAATAAAGAGAGTAGGGAGGTAGGCGCCTTTTACCTCCCTTGGGTGGGTTCCTACTATATCCGGCGGTAGGTAGGGGAAAAAGGCCTTACCTTACTATAAGAATTAGATAGTTAATATCCCTTAAGGCCTTTATATCTTAAATCTCCTTTTTCCTCCTATAACGCTAATAAGTTTATTATAGGTTTTCCTCTTAATCTATTCCCGCTTATCGTCTAATAGGTTTATTATTATAGCTTATACTAACTAGTAAACCCCTTTAGTTCTCTTATTATATTCCTATTATAATTTTACTTTAAATATCTCGCGGTAGTATAACGGTAGTATAGTAGTATAGGGTTAACTATATAGTATAATATTAATCTATATATATATATATATAAGTAATCAGTAGTAGTAGTTTAATGTAAGTTTTTCTTCGTGGCGTAGTAATACCTCCACGGTAGTAAACTAAGAGTTATAGATATCTTCTCCTAGTAATAACGCTAATACTAATAATAATCGTAACCGTTATAAAAAAGGCTTAATCCGGGTTATATTATATATAAGCCCTAGTAGTATTAATATAGTATTATACTAGCTAACTTAGGGTAGTTATATATATTATAGTAAGCGCTTAGGCACCTACTTAGATAACGTGGAGGCTTACTCTAACATTATAGAAACTAATATAGCCTGTTTTTAATATACTAATAGCCGGCGTCTATATAAGGATATAAGTCGTGTCGGTGCTATTATAGTATTATAGGTATACCGTAGTAGCGTATTCTAACTATCTTAATAGGTCCCCTCTACTACTAAAGAATAGTAATAGCGCTTTATAGATCTTTATAAGGCGTATATAGCGGTAAAGGCTACTAATAGCGATAGTATCGCTATTATGAGTATCCCCTTATAATACTGTAGTAGTCTCCTTACTAATAAGCTATAGGCTAAGGAGCGCCTAAGGATAGCGTCCCGGTCTTTTAGCCGGGCCCTAAACCGGGCGTTACCTTCTAGTCGTGGCTATAATAGCACCGTGCCGGTGGAGTTATAGGAGTTAGTTCGCCTAATAAGGCGTTAGGAGGGTAAAATAGACCTAATTCTAAAGCACCTTATAAGTAGCCTCCTTTTAGCCCCGTTACGGCCTTTAGCGGTAATAGTTAGCTAACTAGCCCTTTTAGGGTCTTAAGTATATTAAGAGTAATATTAGCGCTACTAAGGGCGATAAGGACGATAATAACTAATAGCGCCCTATTAATACCGAGCTAATACTACCGGGGTCCTGGCTTATAGGACCCCTATTAATAATTAACTAATTCGTTATACTATTCTATCCCCGCTCCGGTCTCGCTTTGGTGCCGTCGTTATTTTCGTAGGCCTTTATAACTTTAAGGGTAAGGCGAAAGTCCTTAAGCCTTTTCCGTTATAGGAACTACTTTATAACTACCCAGGCCTTAGTATTATATTCTAATACGTCGTATAAATCTCCTTTAGTTATAAGTAGTCTCCCTATAGCACCGAAGAGGTCTTTATAGTCCTCCTTGGTTACCTCTTAGTATTAGAGTACTATATACTCCGCCGTTTCTGCCCCTTTATCCCCGTAAAGGCACGGCGGTAATAAGAAGCCCGGTACCCTTACTTTAGCGAGGAATACTTATAGGCCTAGTTTTTCTAATCTAATCTGGGTAAGTACGGAGCTTTATAGCTTAAGGAGCCCTTTATATTTCCGGAGGGAGCGTTATATTAAGGGGCGGCTTAGTACCGCTATAGTATAGGTATAAAGCCGCTATGCTTTTATCTAGGCTTAACCCTATTCCCTTATAAGGGCCTTCTGCGGGGGCGAGGTTCCGGCCTAGGTTATTAGGGCGGTAAGCTATACTATCTATATAAGGGCGGCGTGGGTCCTATAATACCCATTCGGTATTACTAAGGCTCTCGCTGTGGTATATACTCCGGCTAATATATTATCTTTAGTCCCTTCTTCTTATATCCGGAGGATCTTTCTAGTACTTAGGCTTAAGAGGTATAGGTTAAGGGGGGGGATAAAGGTCTCTTTTTCGAGGACCCTAACCAGTATAGCCTTATAGGCTCCGGCTACTAATCTAAAGCACTAGTTCTATATCGTCATAAGTGCTACTATAGGGCTATACTAGGGGCTAGTCCTTATCTTATAGACGGCTAAGGCGTAATAGGCTATTATTAGTCTTATTACTATAAGGTATAGTCTTTTTATATCCGCGAAGCTATACCCTTACGCTATTATACTAAGTCTTAAGAGGGAGTATATTTATATAGCTAACCGGCTTTTTACATTTTTAGCGTATCGCCGGAAATCGAGTTTCCTATTAAGCTAAACGCCTAGGAACCTTATCGCCTCCGCCGCCGGTACCGAAATAGAATAGCGCTAAGGGGGAGCGGGGTAAAGGAGGGTTAGCGTAACTTTATAAAGGGGATATAAACGCACTTAGGTAGTTCGAACTATAGTCTGCTCGCTATCTCCTAGTTTAGATAAGCACTCTACGCGGCGGCGAGATAGTACCGCATCTATACCTTTATCCTACTAAAGGCGATAATATTTATAGTATTAGCGAATTCTGCTACTATCGTTTTAGGTACTTTTTTTAGCTCCTTATAGAGGGTAAAGATATATAGGATATAGAGGATAAAGGAGATCGGGGAGCCTTACGGTATACCCCTATAAAGGTACCGCGGGGGAGCTATTTCGCTATCGAGTAGTAGCTATACTATATAGTCTTAGAGGAAGCTACTAATTAGGGTAATAAGCTATTAGGGGAATCCCTTCCTTTTAAGTACCTCGAGGAGATAGGAGTAAGGGATAGTATTAAAGACGCCTTTAATATCTAATTAAAGTATTAAAGCGGTGCCGCTATAAGCCTAGCTCGCCCTTATAACCTTTATAACTCTTTATACTACCGTCTTTATACTCTGCCTAATCCGGTTATCTATCTATCCTTTTAGGAGGAGCCGATACTCCTCCGCTATAATGGCGATACAGTCGGCTAGTATCCCCTTAAGGACCTTACCTATAATATTAAGAAGTAATATCGGTTATTAGCCCTTTACTATCTTATAGTTAGCCGGCGGCCGGCCTTCCTTCTTAAGGACTACCACGGTAATATAGTAGTAACTTTTCGGGTAATAACCCGCTTTAAGGCACGCTAAAAAGATAGCGCTTAGTCTTTAGTATAGGGGAGGTCTATATACTTTAAGGAGCCCTGCTAGGAGCCTATCGGGTCTTAGTACCGCCTAGGGTTTAGTCTTCTTAAGGCGCCCCTATATAT